TAATAAATAAATTATATTTACTTAATTATTTATATTTCATTTATAACGTAATTATATTTATTAAAATATATTTATTAAATATTATATTATTTTTAAATTATATTATATTAAATTATAACATTTGAAATTTCATTTATATAAATTATATTTTTATTTATATATTTAATAAATTTTTTTTAAATTACATTAAAATTATAAATAAATAAATAGAAGTCATATTATTTCTTGCTTATTCGTAATACAATGTTAATATCGATAACAAATTTGGCATGCAAAATTATTCGCAATTAAAATAATATCATAAATAAATTATATTTCATTTATTTAATTATATTTATATCTACGACATAATTTGTGACGATTTTCAACAAATATTATTACTTTAATCAATGCATATACAATTTTTTTTTATACATCCTTAAATATCATTTAAATATAATGCACTACAAATTATTATTATTATTATTATTATTATTATTATTATTATTATTATTATTATTATTATTATTAAATTCGTTTATTCTACTGTTATGTGTCACTAATGTGTTGTTTAATTAATTAATACAACGATTAATTTTTTTTTTTTATCAATTATACAAATTCCTTTTTCCCCTTTTTTACGTATGATTCATCGATAAATTAAATATTGTCATATTTAGCACATAAAAAAAGAAATTTCATTACATTCGATCACGTATTCGTAATAAAATGACAGTTTCGTCAACAATACTAATACACATTACACACCATCTGTGTAATATATAACTGACATATACACATTATATACACACACACACATATGTATACACGAGAGTGTTTCATTTTTATTGCAATTTTTCATTTTCATTTTTGTTCGCGTAAATACTTACACGAGAGAAGATCGTTACGCAAACACAACTCGAATAAAACCACCAATGTTGATTGTGCATACACACACACACACATATGTTTGTACATATACTAACATACATTCATATATATATATATATATCATTGCCGTCAGAATTCATTCGAAATTGTATACGACTACAAAACAAAGTATGCTCAGCATGTGTAATAATACCGTGATTAACGTTTTATAATTGACATTAAATATACCATCACATAATTCTAAAGTTCTTATAAGGATAAACAATAAGAACAAGGAAAAAGATTGAAAAAAAAAAAAACAGTCAGCAAATTAATGAGAAATTGATTCCAAAAAAAAACAAAAGGAAAAGAATACTTCATTTGAACGTCATTTTACAACTAAAAATCGGATTATTTTCATCTCAAAATCAGACATTTCATATTTAATGACCTAATGTGTTGAAAATATTCTTTTTTCCGGAATTTTATAAGAATGGGGTTGATTTCTAATTTTATCAGAATAGGGGTTGATTTCTAATGTTATAAGAATGGGGGTGGAAGAAGGGTGAGAGTAACAGGAAAAAATAAATCAAAACAACAACAACACTCATAGATGAGAAAAATGAGAAAGTTCTTCTCTTGCTGTTTTTGAAGGATGATTGATAGTCAGGGGTGTAGAGGGAAGTCTTAAAGATAGAAAATAAAAAAAAATAAAAGAAACTATGACTGTGACTACCAACGATGACGCATTTGTTCATCGAAGTCTTTCCCTGATTGCTAAAAGATTGCGAAAGTGTTACGAAAGCTTAGCACGAGACGGAATCGCAACTTAAACGTTTAAGACTTTCCGGATCGTAGAAAGTTAAAGAAAGAAAGGATGAATTGTATAAAACATGAGTGTGTAATAGTAGTAATAGTAGTAATAGTAGTAGTAACTATAACGAGCAATATTATAAACCAGCAAAGCAATGCTATTACGAACAGCAATATTATTACGTTTGTATGTTGTTGTTGCTCTCGAGTAAAACGATTCCACGACCCTGACACATATTCTATCCTGTCTTTTTATTCGTATATGTGTGTGTATATATATATACATGTATATAATTCGTGCGTGGAATAGGATTTGCAAAGAATATTTTCTTGATGATTGTTCTTCTTCTTGTTGTTTAATTGTTTCAAAATACTTTCACCAATCTCACCCTCATCCTCACCCCCCACTTCATCCCTTATTTCATATCATCGTGAAAGACCTATCGTATTATAGTTAGAAATCAGGTTAATGGTATAGTTCCGTTGTCCTCCAAAAGAATCGTCTTCCAACGTCTTTCCTTTTCTTCTTCTTTATTTCTTTTTATTTTATTTTTTTTTTTCTGGATACGAATCCGTATCATCGTTAAACGTGATCATTTATCCACCCCCTTACATCCCCACCCGCCATCTTTTTAAGAATTTTAACGTCATTGCTTTTATGATATGACGTACGAACTTTATGAATATATATATATGTATATGTGTATGTATGTGTGTATTCTATGGATAATATAGATTTTGTATTTGATGTATCATACTATACCATATATGATATTTTGCTATACTTTAGACACTATATGATATTTGGCTATATTTTTTAAATGTAAACTTTTGTGTATATTTTATGCATAATATACATTCTGTATTTGATGTATCATACTATACCATATATGATATTTTGCTATACTTTAGACACTATATGATACATTGCTATATTTCATATGTTATTTTGCTATATTTTTTAAGTGCAAACTTTTATGTATATTCTATGCATAATATACATTTTCTATTTGATTTATCATACTATACCATATATGATATTTTGCTATACTTTATACACTATATGATACATTGCTATATTTCATATGTTATTTTGCTATATTTTTTGAACGTAAACTTTTGTGTATATTCTATGCATAATATACATTTTCTATTTGATGTATCATACTATACTATACCACATACAATATTTTGCTATATTTTTTAAACATAAACTTTTAATATTATTGCACGGATTATGATTTGATCTAACTTTTGTTATTTATTTATTTTTTTTCAGAGACTTCATTATCAAATGTCACAGCAGGAATCCCAGTGCTTCCATGGTGGACAGGTAACAAAAATAATAAATATATACATGTTAAAGTGTTATATATTAGGTTAGGAAGTAAATGATTACGGATTTTGTCAATAGATGGCTTTTTAATCCTTCGAGGGTTAAAACTTCTGAATACTTTTAACTAAAATGTTTTGTAGAAACGGAATAATTTATTAATAATAAATTATATATTTAATAATTAATGTTTTTCTTTCTAAATATAATTTAATTAATTAATATAAACATTACATTATTTTACATTAATATTAACAAACACGTATATGCGTCCATAACACTGTAAGGGTTTAAATTACCAATAACTTAGTTGCCAACCTAATAGTTTGAACTGTTTCTATTTATTTATTTTATTTACAGGACCGAAAAAGAAAGGGCCCAAACTCCACCGTTCAATCCAGATTTAAAGGACTGTGGAATTCTCAGCTGTAGGCCCGCCTTCATTCAAAAATTTGCCGGGATAAAGGTTTGTAATCATCATAATAATAAACAGAAAGTAAACACCATTAGTTCAACGTGACTTATTTTAAGTAACAAACTGCTGCTACTGCTGCTGCTGTTACTTCTGTTGCTGCTCGTTAATTCGTCTCTACGTGGATGTTTCAAGTAGTCATGAATCATCATCATCATCATCAACTTCTTTATCTCTTAGGAGATTAAAATCTTGTTATATTACTCACTTGTTCCGACGAATTAGACGAGCTAAATATACGACATTAAAAATTGAATATATACTTTATTCAAAAACATTCTTTTGTTTTTCTTTTTTCAATTATACAGGTGTTCGTGTTCCTCCTTTCATTCCTCGTAACACTGCAACAAGCTCTTAGTTCTGGTTATATCAATTCTGTGATTACAACTATTGAAAAAAGGTTTGAAATCCCGTCCAGCCTTTCGGGGCTCATAGCCAGTTCATACGAAATAGGCAACGTCATTACCGTCATATTTGTGAGCTATCTCGGTAGCCGCAGACATATTCCTGTTTGGATAGCAATTGGTAAGTGGTTTAACAATAACGAGACCATACTACTATGATGTTATGTCCATTATCATCAATATAATTATAACAAATTTGAAAATAAAGGTGCTGTTATCATGGGATTGGGATCGATGATCTTTATGGTACCACATTTTACCGCCGAGCCTAATTTAACGACAAATTCGAACAATTCCAGCTCGGATAATATTTGTCGTGGCATATCCTTACGTGAACAAGACATGGGACTCGGTAAGTAGTACTCAACAACAACAACAACAACAACAGGATTTTTAAATTGATAGGTTATTCAAATGAATTTTTATTTGAATATTTTGAACAGGACGATTGTCATCAGGTTTATCATCACCGCATAACAATTTGAGAGGAGATAATTGTATACAAGGATCTCCATCTAATGCTGGTCCTGTTACGCTCTTTTTGCTTGCTCAATTATTGTTGGGTTGCGGTGGTTCTCCTCTATTTACACTTGGTACTACTTATATAGATGATCATGTGAGACCTGAGAGTGCTTCTTTATACATCGGTAAGTATTCAATTTGTATCAGCTAATATTAATGAAGAAAAATAGGTTAGGTTACATGTTTTCATTTTTTTTTTTTTTTTTAGTTGTATGTACAGTATGGCCGCATTTGGACCAGTCTTAGGGTTTCTTCTTGGAGCATATCTCTTGTCATTCCACATGGACTCTTTCTCTGGGACAATTATTAGTATCGGTAGGTTAAATTGTTATTAGTTTATTTGAATGAAATTAATTTGTTAAATTATATTTAGATCCTGGTGATCATCGATGGGTCGGTATGTGGTGGGGAGGATTCTTACTCTGTGGTTTATTACTGATAATGGTTGCAATACCGTTCTTCAGTTTTCCTAAAACACTGCAACACGAGAAGGAGAAAATAAGGATTATTGAAAAAAACAAGCCTACTTCTCAGAAGGAGAAAGAACAATCCAAGGAACCTAAGAAGGAGAAATTGGATGATACTGGATATGGTAAAGATGTGAAAGGTAAAATGATTATTACGATTCTTTATAAAGATAATGTGTTTGTAAGAGATGTTATATTGTCAATTGGATTTTGAATCCATTATTTTTCATAGATATTCCACGTAGCATGTGGAGACTCGTTTGCAATCCAGTATACGTGGTGACCTGTTTGGGTGCTTGTATGGAACTAGTAATCGTCTCGGGCTTTGTCGTCTTTCTACCAAAATATCTTGAGACGCAATTTAGCCTGGGTAAAAGTCAAGCGAGCATATTTACCGGTTCTATTGCTATACCGGGTGCTTGCATTGGTATCTTCTTCGGTGGATGTTTACTCAAGCGATTGGAACTAAGACCAAAGGGGGCAGTTCAATTTGTTCTTGTCTCTAACATAATATGTTTAGTTTGTTATGGTCTACTATTTTTCTTGGGTTGTGACAACGTTAAAATGGCCGGGACCACTATACCGTACTTTAACAGCAGCACTAAAGGTCCAGAACCTTTTCAAGTAAATCTCACTGCCGCATGCAACTTCGGTTGTGAATGTCGAATGACCGACGTTGAGCCGGTCTGCGGAAATAACGGCCTGACGTACTTCAGTCCTTGTCACGCTGGATGTACAGCCTTCAGTTCGAAGTCTAACTTTACGAATTGTGCATGTAAGTTGTTGATGTATACAAATAAATAATATTAATTCATAGTGAAAATTTTTATGATTTATTTATATTAAAATGAAATGTATTTTTTGTTCAGGTATACATGGTAATTTAACTATGCTGCCACCAGCAGCACCAGAATTTGCTGAAGTAACCGTAGTACCAGTAGCAACTGCTGGCCCATGTACTTCACCCTGCAGAACAATATTCCCATTTTTAATTCTTCTATTTTTCATGACGTTTATCGTCGCTGTAACTCAAATGCCTTTGTTGATGATAGTTTTAAGGTAAGATAATACATTATCCTATAACCTCAATATCATTCTGAATTCTTAATCTGAATTATTTATTTACAATATAGATCTGTATCAGAGGAAGAAAGATCTTTTGCACTTGGTATGCAATTCGTAATCTTCAGACTGTTCGGTTATATACCAGCGCCTATTCTTTTTGGTAATTTAATAGATTCAACATGTTTATTATGGAAGAGTACTTGTGGTGAAAAAGGTGGCCGATGTCTCTTATACGATATCGAACAATTTAGATATAGGTAAAAGAATATATTCTTTCACAATTATATTTTAATCTTTTATTGAAAGTGTGTTAACTTAATCAAATTTTCAATGTAGGTATGTTGGTCTTTGCGCTGGCATTAAAATCTTGGCACTAGCATTGTTTTTGGTTGATTGGTGGCTTGTAAGGAGGAGAAGACAAATGGAGGAACAGGCTCCATCCTTTACTGTCAATGAATTTGTAGGATCAATTATTAGTCTTGATAAATGTAAGTTTAACAAATGTATTTTAATAATATCAAATTCTAACAATAAAGTTGTATGTAATTGTGCCAATAATTATGACAACAAACAGTATAATTGATAACTGTCATAAGCTGTGGCACAAATACATATATACAAGCATGTATATAAAACGTATATCATAATTGCTTATTATAGTATTTGAGGAAAAACCTCATCAACATAATTTAGGGGACGGGGATGTGAATTCACCAAGTTCGGAAGGATTGACGCCATCTTCTATTTCTTCACCTACGGAGCCTACAAAATCGACGAATCTCGAGGAAACAGAATCTTCTAATCAAGACTCTACTGAAACGACAAATCGTATGACGAAAAATATGATGGACGTTGATGTACCGGATACGAGGCAAACAGTAATAATACCACCACCATTACCACCACCACCACCATTTGCAATGCACGAGCATGAAGTTAATATAAAGCCCGTGACAATGGGTAAATCAGATAGTCGCGATCAGAATGTTTAATGTTTATTTCGAATTAGGAATTATTATTATATATATATATATATATATAAATCAATCGAATTGGTGATATGTAAATTTGTGACAAATTATTATAGATAATTCATTGTAAATAATATATAATTATCTATTTCATTGTTGATGAGAAAACAAAAAAGCAAAAAAAAGATGTGCACTAACCTTAAAAAAAAAAAAAAAAAACAGTCATAGAATCAATATTATGTATTAAATACGACTGTAAGCACTGTATAATTATTATTGGTCAATGTATACTTGCGGTGCTCCTCTCATAAATAATATGTTTCGATGAAAATGATTATTATTATTATATACATACATACATATATATATATATATTAACGGGATAGAACGAAACTTAACTAACACAGTCAATATTTTTTCCATTAACGTGCTCTCGATAGAAATATGTCATATATATATATACATACATTGGATTAGTTTTCTATATATTCATATAATTTACATAATAAATGCACATATAGTTAGTTATTAAAACAAACTCTTGTATTTGAAGCAAAACAGAAAGAATGCAAAATGGCGATTTATCTTCCGTAAATAATTTGTCACAAATTTCATTAAAATGGATTTAGATATTACAACAACAACAACAAAATGATATCAGTAAGTGTACATTTTTATGGCATTGCGATATGTAAATAGAGATTTAATGATAGGTTGTGTAAAGGGCTCATTTAAAAAGAGTACTAAAGTACTTGAAAACTAATGATCGTTATTGTATGGCTAAATCTATACAATTTTTACTGTAAATGATACATTTTAAAATGGTGGTAGCACAAGATTGAGGCTTAAGAAGATTTTTATGTACACGATGAAGAAATATCATCGGTCTTTGGTTATATGTGTTTCAAGAAACAAGTCCTTGATTGCGACTATATTAAAATATAAAAACAAACAGAAGGAAGAAATAGAACAAAACTAAAAAATGATGAAGAAGAAGAAGGAAGAAGAAAGAAAAAAGAAGAAGGAAGAAGAAGAAGGCCAATACTAAGACGACAATTGTAAATATAAAAATCCTGCCTTAAGAAATACAAGACTAGACAAACTTAAAGTTAAATATAAACTAATTAAGTTAACGAAACTAATGATATATATATATATATATAAACATTATATTATTCGCAGATCAAGAGCTGAGATTTATTTTATAACTAGATTTAGGCTTTCTCACAAAAAAAGTAGTCAATTTAGAAATAGTTAAGAAGAAACAAACAAACAAACAAAAAAAAAGAAAAATGATAGAAGAGAAAAATCCACACACACACACACATACATACATATACATATACATATATATATAGTTAAAAATCAATAGGACAAAAAAAAAGTAATTGTGAATGGTGTATAGTTAGAGGTTTATCTTATCCCCCCCCCTGTTTATTCATAGATATATTATAATTATATTATATACACACACACACACGATTATAATTCAAAAACATGCTTTGAAAAGAGCGGCACGTGATGATCTCCGACGATTATTCATTTGTTCGGCTTTTTTTTTTGTTTTTTTTTTTTTTTAATTAAATTGTATTTTTAAATGAATCTATCAAAGAGAGTCAAAATATCATTTTGTGGAAAATAGAAAAAAAAAAGAAAAAAAAAGAAAAAAATGGGCTTTCATGGAAAAACGATCTTATTTTTTTGTTCTTTTAATGATACTTGTATCGATAATCATAAAAATGGACTACTGATGAGTAAAAAGTGGAGAAGAAGAAGAAGAATAAAAACAATTGACAAAATTTATTTCATCATTTATTAATGAACAATTGCAATATTAGATAAATGATGGAATAGATTTGTTCAATTTTTGTTAACTTTATATCAAGTCCATTCTGTCATTATTACCTGACACATGAATTTTTATCGACACAGTATTTTAATATAAATATAAAAAAAATGACTACTTCCAATCAACGAGAATCTAATTATCAGTTCTACGAACGACGATTATTTCAATTCTCAATCAAATTTCAAATATCAATCGTTATGGGACCTTCAATTGTCTCTGATATAATTAAGTTGTTTTTTTTGGCTTCGATGCAATTAGCTTGCTCGTCATGAGGAATGCTACTAGTTTTGTACCTGAAAGCCTCTCGAATCAATTTCGATGTATAAAATGATACAAAAAAATAATAATAATAATAATAATAATAATGATGATGATAATGAAGATAAACAAAAAGAATAAGAAGAAGAAGAAGAAGAAGAAGAAAATGAAGAAGAAGATGAAGAAAGAACAAAAACAAAAAAAAAACAAAGAAACTATATTAAACTCACTCAGGAATGAAATTCTATAGGGAGTAAGGGCACTTTTAATTTTTATTCTGAATATAACCAAACAATGGGGAAACGAGTTATAAATAAAAAAAAATAAATAAATAAATAAATAAATAATAAATATATTATGTGTAATATCGAAGCCAGGAAAAAAGAACAAAATTTTGCCTTAGCTTACGAAGAAAGTATTCGAAGATTTGATTTTCATTTTTGATATATTTGAAATATTTTCACAATCATTTTGATTCATTTAAAGAAAAAAAAAATATTCAAGTACATACATATATATATATAAATATATATACGTTTCTCACAATGTTGATAAAGAAGAAATAATTAAAAGAAAAATGATTTTAACGTGCTACTAATAAATAAAGAAACGTGTTAGCCTCTCTCTCTATCTATCTCTCTCTCTCTCTCTTTCTTGATGGTACTCAACAAATTCAGAACAAAACAAACAAACAAACAAATCCCTCTGCGATGCCGCAAATGTAAACATTGTGCAACTTAATACATACTTAATTATACAAATACTTACTTTCGCGTTTTTCACGTTGTATTTCACTCACGGTATCCATCACACTTTTTGCTGTTTGGTCCGTCACTGTCAATTTTTCAAAGTGTAGTTATACACGCTACTATATTTTAGAGGCAATTTTCACGTTTGATGTAATAAACAAAAAAGAAGAAAAAAAAAAAAAAGAAAAAACAAAAAACAAAAATGAGGAAAAAAAAAATATAAATAAACAAGTGAACAAAATTCATTCAAAAGATTCCTCAAAGTCGACCGTTTGAATCAATTTCTTTTTTTTTTTCGAGAACAGCGATGATCTCTTCAATGACTACATTATTGCGATACACATATATATATTTATATATATATGTGCGTATAATTATGAAAGTGGTTTAAGTAAAAGTTAATAAAAAATGAGTTTATCAGTTAGTACACACTACATTATTATAAATTAAATAAATTCAATGTAATTTGAAAACGATGAGTTTTGAGATTATGAAAAAATGAATTGTTAGATAATGTTTGTAATTTCAATATTATATAGAATTGATATAGTGTTCAAGTATAAATCTGTAAATATCTCGAAACAAGAGATATATGACTTAGACCACTTTCATAATTATGGGCACATATATATGTATATATATATATATATACCTAATATAACTTTGTGATATATAAAATCTCTTTCGAACGGTAGACTTTGGTGAACGCTCGTAGATCGTAACAAAAAAGTGCTGTGAATAGAAAAAGAACAAAAAAAAATAAATAAATAAATAAATAAAAACGAAGATGAAAGATAAAAGGATATAACAACAACAACAACAACAAAGAAAGAATAAAACAACTAAGTACATATAATTACATTATAAAAATAAAATTAATTAAATGAAATTAAATTAAATGAACAGATCAAACTCAGATGAGTTCGTTGAAGATGTAATAAAACGGAGAAGAAATGAAAACAACTGTTGTCCGTTTAAAACATAACTTGCAATTGTACATAATAGTTAGAAAAAAGTGAAAAGAGAGATTTAACAAAATATAAATAAAAAAAATAAACAAAACCGAGCAATGCTGCAAGAATTTTTACAAGCTCGGTTATATCGTGTTAATTCGATGTTTCTTACATTTCTTCAATTACTGACAGATTGAAGAAACATCGAACATAGTTGCACGATGACTATATATATATATATATATATATATATATAAATAAATATAATAAACTCTTATGTTACTTAAGTAATTTTAGAAGAATTATATTTTTGAATGATTTTCTTTTGTCTTTTTTTTTTTTTTAATAATCATTCACTTTGTTATTTACCTTGAAGATGAAGTTACTTTGTGTTCTCTCTTATCACATGATGAATCAAGCATTATTATGTTGATCATATTAATTGAATAATTGTCTTTTAATGAATCTCCTGTTAACGTCAATATACAAACCTTGAATATCGACAGAATAACTGCGATAATTATTAATACCGATACTACTCGCTAAAATTAGTACTACTACTACTACTACTACTACTACTATTACTACTACTATTACGATTACTCTTATCGCTATTATATTGTTATATATTTCATTACTATATCAAGTATGATTTTTAGTCTTGAATTTTCTTGTCATCACACAAGATTGTAGTATGTACGTAACATTCCTCCCCTACCCCCCCCCCCACCACCCTACTACCACCCCTCAAGCGCGTACTACTATTAAATAAAGAAGAAGAAGAAGAAGAAGAATAAATAAATAAATAAATAAAACGATCAAGTATTAGATAGGATTAATTATAGTAATTAAAATTGATATATAAATAAAATGTTATTACGTTATATACATAATGTATATATATATATAAATATATATGTATATAATATGTATGTTAAAATCATGCATATATATATATGTATATACATATATTAGTGTATATACATTATATGTATGTATATGTATGGTTATTACCATGATATAATATAAACTGCTTATAGATGTAATGTATTTTTTGTAGGGACCATAAATGTAAGCAGAACAATATACATATGTATATATATATATATATATATAATTTGAATTGGTACTGAAAGAAAATAATGGTGTGCAGAAAATATGTCAAATTCGTGAAAAGCAATACATGCGTGGTGTTACGAGAAGTTTCTTGAAAATAATCGAATATTTAAATGTTCACGTACATAAATATAAGTATAATTATTATATACGTTTATATGTAAGCGTATATATATATATATATAGATAGATATACACATATAAAAGAATATATTTATATTTGTGTATGTGTCACATAATAATATAGATAGATAGATATATATATATATATATATATATATATACACACATATAAAATTAAACTTATTAAATGTTAAAGAATTAAAATTAAAAGAAAGAGAGAGAGAGAGAGAGAGGTGGAAAAAAAGTACTAGTTAATATTGAAATTTGATTTTTGTTTGATTGTGCAAAAGTATGCACACACACACACAGACACATACACATATACATATGTGTAAGAACAACACGTTTTGATTTGTTCATTAGAAAATATCATGTTTTAGGGATGTATTAAATAATAATAATAATAATAAATAAATTTTGCAAAACGTGTTAGATGAATTTTCTAGAAACTTCTCAGAGCGGGAGCAAACAAATAATCAATTAATGAACGAGATTACAGATCGTTAAAGAAAAATCATGAAATAAATGAATAAACAAAGGATGCATGTACATGCTGATACTTTTGAATAATGTTATAAAAAAAAAAAAACAAGATTATGTACGTTTCGTATGAGAAAGTTAAATGAAATAATGCATCATCCCCTTTATGATTGTAATCACGTTACTGGAAAGTATGCCTTAAAATTGCAGTGGGTGTAAAGTTGAAAAGAAATAAAGAAGAATAATAAGACAAAATAATAATAATAATAATAATAAAAGATAAATAAAAAAAAAAACAAAAAACAAACAAAAAGTAACAAAAATGGAATAGTAAAGAAAAATGAAGGATAAATAAATAATATCTATGCATATGTATAGGAGGACAAAGAAAAAAAAGGAGGGAAAATATTATAACTAAAGAAGAAATTTCAATTGTGATTGAGAACGTTTAAAAAAAAAAAAAAAAAAAAAAAAAAAAACAATTGATGCTGGATTTCAATGA